AAAATGCATTCACGTGCATTTATTCACAGTTTAAAATAACCAGTTGTCATGATTTAGAATTCAGTGTCCCTCCCCAAGACACTCCCAAATGAGACACCACTCATTTGCTCACCATACTTCCCCTTCACCATCTCTCTCTGGGATGGGGTTGAGAGCTGGAGGCACAAAAATGTGAAAATCACAGGTTGAGATAGGAACAATTTACAGGAAACAGAAATAAGAAAACAAACAGTTATAGCAACAATACTAGTAACAAGTAAAAGTGTACAAAGAGAGGGTGATATCCATGGAAAATGCTCACCAAGCCCAGGAACATGAACAACAATGGTGGAAGGACCCTTGCCACAACCATAGCCATGCTTGCTCTCCTGACTGTAAAGGGCTGCTGCTTCTTTGAAGAGCAAGAGTGCCTTTCCCTCTGCCCTGTCAATGATGTAAGATGGTATTTAATAACATGATGTCTTGGTCACGCCTGCTGTCACTGATCTGGACCTTCTTAAAACCACTGCATTTAGATGATATTGGCTGAAAAGGAAGAACACACATTAAAATCTTCAGGTTATGAATAGGGCAACAAAAACATACTGACTTTGTACAATAAAACAGAGGGGATATTACATTAAGTATCTTATAAATTTTCATAAAATGGAAGAGACATTTTTAATTTAAATTACTGATTCTGGTATATGGCAATATAGATACTACTGCAAAGACAAAGCTAGTGCTAACTTAAAAGCACATAACCTTGCCAGACAAATAGTGCTGTAGACACAAAAAAGCCTTCATTGTGTGTAGACACAAAAAAGTTCTTCATTCTCCAGATGAAAATTGGTTTTGCTGGGAACATGAACATTTTTGATCCTAATTCAAAATGTGGCCTTTGACAATAAAATAGGTTTGATACTATAGACAGTTGAGCTAAGCTACAGGGGTCAGAAATAAAAAAACAGTAAAGATGAAGATCAGACAAATAATATGATTCTAGATTTAAAAAAAATAAAAATCAGATCATAACTAAAGAACCTGGAAAGAAATGTAAGTTCTTGTCAGTGCTACAAGAGAGAATCTCCACTCTTGAGCAGAGATAGGTTGTGACTCCACATGTGCATGCAGTAACCTCCAGAATTTCAGGAGTTTTGGGCTATGGGTAGTTAAAAATTAGTCCTGGCATTCTACAGTGGTCAAGTAAAATCCACACTTCACACTTTCATTTGTGGTGTTAACAGAGAGGTAAAAGACATGAGTGATACTGTGGTGAACAAAGTGTTTTGCTTCCAGGGAAATAGTAACATATAAAAATCTAAATTTTTTAGCAGTTCTTTCTCCCTCACTCCAATGTGAAACTGGTAAAAGACACATTTTTTTTTCACATTATTTATCTACATGGAGGTGTCTATGATATCTGCTGCACCAGCTATGTTTATTAAAGATTGTAGACAGTTCTGGCAAGTAAGCCACAGTTCCTTAGTCTGAACTATCTATATTGTTTCTCAACAAGGTATGGACATCCTGAGGAAATGATAGAGATTATAGAAGTCTTCCAGGGAGGAACATGAGTCTGTAACCTGAGACCAGGCCAGACAGGGACAATGTGGCAGAATAACAGAAGAACAGGCACAATTTAGTGGCCCAAAAAGTAATAGTTTAGTGTTGAAAACAACAAACACATAATTTGAACAGCAGTAGAGGCTGCGCCAAAAAGCAAGGGTCAGGGTAATACAGTAACAGATGAACTAAACTAGGGGTGGAGTCTGAGGGTAAGGGCCCAATAGGGAAAGATGCCTAGGGGTATGTAAATTAATGCAGCAAAAGTAAACCAATGATAACAGGGGAAACAAAGAACTTTCTGCCTACCTTTGCATATAACTAAACAGGGGGCAGTGTGGGTAATGTTTTGCTCTCCATGCTTATTAGGGTTTTTCCTATGGCCTTCAGTCAGGGTTTTTATCAACCCCCAGCAAACTTGTTTTGCTGGCTCCCCTGGGATTTCTCCATTCTGGAACTACTGGTGGACTATTTGGAAGAGCCTAACACTGTGGAACCCTCATTTTTCTTGAAATTTATTCAGTTATTTCTATAGTACGTTTGTTCTTACATCTATTTTATCCAGTTTACTCTCCTTATATCTCTTAATTTGGCTTGGTTTCCCATCTTGTACTTTAGTTGCTATTTTTGGTTGCTAGAGCCTCTCTCTGCCTTGAACACTTCCCAGCACCTGGGATTTTTCAGGCAGCTGAGACTCAGTGCACTGCCTGATCCCACAGACCAGGGCAAGAGCTGCAGCCTAGTACAGCTCTGTGCTTCCCTCCTCTGGCCTTAGACTATGAGTTATGAACTGCTCTTGGTCTACCAAATCTGGCACCAGGGAACTTTGAGCCTTGGTCTGAAATCCTCTTTTCAGTGATTCTAGAAATTAGAAAGAATACTGTAGCATCTGTCTGAATTTTCCGTGAAAATCCTAGTAAAAAGGATGATGAGACCTTTCCTATTTTAATTCTACTTTGCAGACATTATTTCTCAAAGACAATAATGAATTCCTGGCCTCTGATTTCATCTGTTAACAAGGCTCATTAACGTGACCTTGTAGTCTCACTAGTAGTAGTAGTCTGCAGTACCAGACACCTGACTTTGTTTCTTCCTGACATTTATCTGTCACTCTGAGGTGGTAATCTGTTTACATCTCATATAAACCTATTTGCCTGATGTGAAGCTTCTGTCCTTGATCACAAAGTGAGGGAACACTGTAGCACCTGGCTCTTTATGACTCTGAAGGGAAACACAGGAGCAATGGCACTGACAGATAAATGGAAATGAGACAAAGAGATGCTTGTAATGGTGATGGGGTGATGGAAAAAAAGTGTTGACTCTTGAATAAAGTAGATGGTATCCAGGAAGTTGGTAACAAAAACAAATCCATCAAATAAGGCAGATTTCCATAGTGGTTACGTATGTTTTGAGAGCAAAAGATCTTTGGGGGATTTTTTTGCCTCAGATATAGTTGTAAAGGACACAAAGAGCAACTTCAGTTATGTATTTGCAGATTAGTCAAAACATTGGACCATCAAGTTTTTATGTAATTGTTCATATAACAATGAAGTTGGCACCTCTAACAGAAAAGACCAATGGCTAACACCATGATCTCGACATAAGAGATAATTTCTGGTGTTTCTACAATATATTCCCAGTTTGCATACTGTAAGAGAGAAACCTTTCCATACACTTTTCTGGAAAAAAGAACAAGAGAACAGAAGTCATACCCATAGTTGCCAGGATTTACCTCTTGACTACTTTAGCCATTGAAATCCTCAGCAAAGACTCCTATACTGATCTTAAAAGGTCCCCAGTGGACCTTCTGTAAGGAAAGGGGGACAGTAATATCCATTTCAAATTCTTTCCTCTTCTTGACTATTGTGAATTACTGTTGGGGCTTAGGTGTCCTTCTTTTAGTTCTGGCTCACTTGTGGAATTTTTACCCATTCCTCCATGGCGAGGAAAACCTGACTGTGGGTACTTGGGTGCTTGGGAAACACAGAGCTGAACTGGGCCCAGGGAGGAAGGGGGCAGGAAAAGGGGAGGGCGGGGACAGTTTGGCGGGCTTCTTCATCTTCAGAGAAGGACACTTTGCTGGGAGCTGTTGCTGCGGAGAGAAGGGAATTTGCCATCACCCAGACGGAGCTGCTGCTGCTTCTTCTCCTTCTTCCCTCTTCATTGGTGGGCCTTGTCCCATGCCGGGATGCACCAGTGCCAGGAGCTGCTGATCCACCTCATCCACCGGCCCAGGATCTCAGCTCATCCCTGCTGTTCCAGCTGGGTGTTCCTCAGAGCCCTGCAGGAGCACCGGGACTGACTGCCCGAGGGGGTTTGTGAAGCAAAGCCTCTCCTCCATCCCTTCCTGTCTCGGCCGAGAAAGCTGTCACGGGGTCCCTGGTTCTGTTTTGTTGTTAATGCTGTAGTTATTGTTGTTTGTTTGCCTCGTTATACATACTAGTAAAGAACTGTTATTCCTATCCCCTGATCTCTGCCTGAGAGCCCCTTGATTTTGAAATTATAGTAATTTGGAAGGAAGGGGTCTACATTTTCATTCCAAGGGAGGCTCCTGCCCTCCCTAGCAGACACCTGTCTTCCTAAACTGAGACAGTAGCTGGTAGTGGATAGTATAGCTAATGCTTGAAAAACCAGAAAAACTCTTATTTAAACACTTAAGAAAACAGCTGAAAAGCTTTTCTCCATCAAAACAGGTATCTTAATTTCATTCATTAGGTAGGGAGAAGGAGTGGAAAGGATGGAGATGAGAAAGTCTTGTCCCGAATGAAACTATGTTTGTTGCCTGTTTCCAGACCTTGGAGCTCATGAGGCCTGTCTGTTAGAGAAAGTTTGCTGATAACAGGCTCCTGACACCTGTGCAGCTGTGTGACTCAACAGTATCATCACACTGATGACTGAGGGCTACCACAAAAAGCCACAGATGAAATGCAAAGAATAAATGTATCAATTACCTTGCTAACTGGAGGATCCTGAAACAAGGCTGGGCAGCAGAGAAACAATGAGGGCACCAGTGCTGTCAGGCTCAGTCCAGTCCTAGTGGGCAGCAGGGCTGCTGCTGTGCCCATTTATCCAGGGCCTGAGCACAGTTTAGCACCATGCTGTGATCTCCCTGTGCTTTTTATGGCCTCTGCTTTGATCTCCCTCCCAACAGGGAGCTCAGGCATGTCTGGGATAGGGCCTACAACCCTCTGTAAACACCTATGTTATCTGTACACAGAAGTTCTACTTCTCCAAACAAATAAATAACAGTATGCAAGCACACAGTTTGTTGTGATTGGGAATGGGGCTGCTCATCCCCGATGGGCTACACCTGTGTAAGACAGGTGAACAGTATTAAAGGCAATGAAATATGGAGTGCTGCGGTGTCCTGACCAATCACAAAAGGGTAGAGAGGGCACACAGGTGTAATACATGTGAGATGAATAGTATAAAAGGTTGTACTAAAGAACAATAAAGTGCTGACGCTTGAAGCCTTCTTCAGTGTCAGTTGTACCTCCACCATCAGCAGTAGGTTTAATATGTGGTTTCCCACACTGATATTCTTCAGCCTTGGCATTCCCAGCTGTAAAGTTACTTGAGTGAATCCACTGTCCTACTCACCATTTTTCTCTTTTAACCTTTTTATCCCATAGCAGAAATTTAGGAAGACAGCACTTTTCCTTTTAGTTAGGCTTGAATATTTTCATTATTTTATTCTGGGTACTTAGAAGTTATGAGGAGCCACCACCACAGGTAGCTCAACTATACAGTTTAGATCCTTTAGTCCAACACATAACTTTGTCTTCTTTCAGTCTGCTTCATTCTCCCTTCAGCCAGACTACAATTTCTACATTGCATTTTCTTCCACTTTCTGTGCAGTTCAGGTTGTGAGATGGCATTCATTTCCAAAAGAGGTAGGTTATGTTAGGTTCTGGAATTCTCTACCAAGAGGAGAGAATGTTGCTCACTGAATAAGCTGCTAAAGTTGCCTTTGATTAGTACCTTTGCCTTTTAGTGGTGATTCACTCTGCTCTTTCATCCTGTGAAAGCTAATCTTAGTTGTTGTTTTGGGACAAATACTTTACAACTGCAAAGTTATTCGCTAGCAGTGAACTCAATGTCTTTCTATTTACAGCAAAATTTCTACCCTCCACTGTCTTGTGATAGATCTGAATTTAACAGAATCACAAGGGATGGCACCGTACCCTTCTGTGCTGAGAAAACCTGTGTGGTACGGGAAGCAGAAAAGTGGTAAAGGGCAATGGAACACTCTTCCATAGAGATGTTTTGAAACATAGATTTATTTCTGAGGAGGTGAAAAGGAAGCCCACGTCATAAAAAACAATGAGCCATTCATTAACCTCTAACTATCCAAACAAGAAGTCCTACATCCCAGATTAGTAGAACATCTCTTAATACACAGCAAAATATCATCATTCTAGAGAAGGTGTATCTGTCTAAGACAGGTAGGGCCTTGCAAGAAATCGTGTCACGGTCAATAATTAAGTTGTATGACTGTGTAAACACAGAAAACTATATGCCAAAAAAGTTTTGCTTCCTACTGGGAAAATTATCAGTGATCAGAAAGTGCCTCCACCTCTTTTACAGGGAATTTAAATGTGTGTAATGGAAAAGACTGAGAACTAGAAAACAATCAGCTGTCCAGGGTGTAGTGACAGCAGGATCTATCAACTTAATTTAGAGATTTGTTAACCCTCTGCATGCCCCAGAATCACAGAATGGGCAAGGTTGGGGGGGACCACAATTGGCCATCTTGTCCAACCTCCCTGCTCAAGCAGGTTCATTCCAGAACACATTGCACAGGATTGTGTCCTGACAGTTCTTGAATCTCCAGTGAGGTAGATTCCAAAACCTCTCTGGACAATCTGTTCCAGTGCTTGTTCACTTGCATAATAAAGAAGTTCTTTGTGTCCAGCTGGAACTTCCTGTGCATCAGCTTGTGCCTGTTGCCTCTTGTGCTATTGTTCAGCACCACCAAGCAGAGCCTGGATCCATGCTGTTGAACCCCCTGCTTCAGATACTGATAGACATTGATGAGGTCCCCTCTCGGTCATCTACTCTTGAGGTAGAATGGGCTCAGTTCCCTCAGCCTTTCCTTAGAATAGAGATCCTTCAGTCCCATGCTCCAGTTCTTCCACTGGATTCTCTCCAGCAGCTCCATGTCTCTCCATGTAGCAGAATCATGAATTGTTTTGGTTGAAAGGGACCTTAAAGATCATCCATTTTTAAGCCCTGCCATGGGCAGTGACACCTCCCACTAGACCAGGTTGCTCACCCAACCTGACCTTGAATATTTCCAGAGGTTTTAGTATTACTAGATGCTACTGTGTTTCAAACAAGAGTTATTTACATGCTTTTCTAAGTTAAATGCAGCAAAGTAGCAATGCAGTCTGAAGACCTAATAGCAGGGAAAGGAGAGATCTGCAACTAACATGTTTGTGCATGGAACTGACATCCAGGCTAACAAAGGTTTGTCAATGCTGGCTTGGTACAATTGACACCCATCCTGCCATGGGACTACCACAAGTTGGTTTGACTTCCAAGAAGCCATGCCCCAGATATGGCTTGATGAAATTGTACAACATAAGAAGAGTGGTTCCTTCTCCAGAAACTCTCATCCTGCTCCCATTTGTTGCTTTTTAGGCAATTCTAACATTACAGTGTTTATGTGGTCCAGGCAACAGCTTGTAAAACAAAATATTTATCATGTTATGTCTTCCTCATTGCCTATTGACACAAGATGGAATACTGCAGTTGTTTTGCACTTAAAAAAAAGGACAGTTGTAGCAATGGAAAAGGCTGCACCTTTCAAGTGCAGCAAGGCCTTGAAATTTGCTCAGTAATGTCTTACTAAGATATTTCACTTTCTGAATCTAAGGATGACTTTTACTATCCTTCACCACTGTGTATCATCTCTGTGGAGATTACTTGCAAGGAAACTTAATTCTATAAAAAATGAAACTAATTTCTAGCAGCCATCTAAGTGGGTAAGAAATAAGGAGAAGAGCCCATTGAGCTCATCCTGTTCTCCACCGACAAGTGTAAGATTCTGAGAGAGAAAGTTTTGGTACTAGGCAAATGGCTAAAAATTGCTTATTATTACTTCCCTCTAAAGTTTACCCCTTTTACCCCTAACTTTTTAAAGTTATATAAAGAATATAATTTTACCCCTTATCAAATAACTTTTACTTCTCTTAGAACTACTCTGCTCTTAACAGTTCAAGATTCCCATTCTACTGCATTTCAGGTGCCTAACTCTAATAGCTGGGGAGTCTAAAGTGGTCTGAGTATTGGGCCACAGGTATATTCCCAAGTTTAGATCTTTAGAAAACATTAAACCAAAAACCAGATAAACTGTAGAATGCAGAATCAAATGTGGGGTTTTTTTGTTTTGTTTATTGTTTTTTAGTATGCTACAGTGACTTATGAAGCTGTGCACATGTGCTTTGATGCAGATGTAGCTTTTGGATGGACATACCAGTCCTAATCCTGCAGTTTTCCCAGGATATAAGGAATCATGGTAAAACACTGGTGCTCTCAGACAAACTGTTCACAAGTTTGTTTCAGTGTCTAGATGCAGAAAGGTCACATCTTCTTCATGTCTTCAGGAGTTAAATACTATGAGGCAGAAATTGAAAGGAAATTCTCTATAATTTTTGTAATTCAAAACAGTTTGCAGAATTTGCTGCAAGCACAGAATGTTCAGGTTTGGATGTTGACTAAAGGATTAAAAAATGCAAGTTCTGTGAAACTGGTCATTAACTGGTGAAGAGGACTAAATGTTTACAATGGAAGACCCAAAACATACACTTACATTCTTCATCACTCCCTCTGTACCTTCATGCTCCTTAACCACTTACTTTCCATTCCTGGGGCATTTCACTACAGCTGCATCCTGTCCCTTACAAACTGCCCTTCTTTGCTAGCATTTGGTGCCTTTAATAGAAGTTCCAATTCATGCTGGTTTGCACTAACTCTGTGATGTATGCAGCAGAGGAAAAACAGTATCAGAGCCAAATGTTTGCATTTGCTTGTAGCCTGTAGGAGAGATTTGAAGTTAGGTTTGCAGGAGGAACAGGCGTTATCTCTTTTATTTTTACAATTCACAGTATGTTTCAAAAATTGTTATGGCTTAAAGCCCACAGCTTAAAGCCTGTTGTTGAATTTGTGCTTCTTTTGATAAGAAAAAAATCCACCTCACTGTGCTTGTACAGGTTTGAAAGAGTATAAACCACAGTACCAAATGCAGCTCTTTTATACAGCAGGCAAAAATACACTGCTCACTTACTGTTTTCTAGGATCTTTGGACAAATTGAGACATGCCCTTTATGAAAAACTGTTCCCTGTTTCTAAAAGAACTCTGCATGAGTTCCTGTTTAGTACCTCAGAACACAAAGTAGGGTGGAACAAGACTTGCATTTTGCAAATTATTATGCATTTGATCATCTGCACTTAATGCTGGCCATAAAAGCAGCGCTTCTAGGTCAGTGAATTCTCCAGTGAAAAGCCTGGCCTGTGTGTTTCCTCACAAAAAGGCACTTCTGAGCATCTCAGGAGGGAAAGGATGGGAGTCTACCTCAAACAGCAAGGCTGCTGCCCTGCCCTCCAGTCAGCTGTGTGTAAGGAGGCATTTGCTATCCCAAACATGCCCAAGAAGGAAAGCGCATCTGTGTTGGTAATGCTCCTCTTCCTCATAGGTCCTTCCAGTCAAGAGAGAAAATCTTCCATAAGTCCAAATTTGACAGTAGTTTACAGGCTATCTGAGCAGGTGTCAGAAAGCTTCAGGTCTTTTAGCAAGTGATCTCTGCTATGCAAGGTAGCTAGATCTACACTGTAGATGTAACATGCAGATAAAAGTACACCTGGATAGCACAGTACACAGAAAAAGTGTCTAGGACAAGTCCCAGATGTTCTTGAGTGAGGATTTATCTTGGAAATTTGGAGTTATTATTTTCTTCTCTGACTTGCTGTGCAGGATTATGAGAAGATAATGCTAACATTGTTCAGCTGCTCTTAAAGTACAAAAAATACATTAAAAGTGAATGTAAGTCCAAAGCACTTCCTACAGTACTGTTGATGCAAAGGTCAGAGAACAGTCACTGGACTATTATGAAGAGGCAACTATTGTGTGACTAGTTAATTAATAATTTTATTCTGAATATTTAGTTCCAAAATCTAAGTAAAGAATGTACAAAAGGACATAATTAGTTCAAAATGAAATAGGATTTGGTTCAGGTGATTTCAGTCATCATTTTATACTGAAAATAAATTGATACAATATTCTGCCTACTGTCAGGATAAAATGACTATTTAGTAGAAAAAAGTAATAATCGACATAGTTATTATCAGTTGCTATTATGCACTTATTTGGGCTCTTTCTGGAGAGTGTAATTTATAAGTAGCTAAATTTTCAAATACAGTATTTCTGTGAATTTCATTATGTAAATATTTAATTTGAAGAAAATGTGTACATAAAATAAGTCTTAGCACTTTTTCCTGAGTGGAAGCCTGAGCAAATGAATAGAAAGGAAATATAAGGACAAAGGCAGCTTGATCCCTACTAAGTAGTGGATTATTGCCTTATAATTGCTATATTGGGTAAATACAGCATTTCATTAATAAATATGACATAAAACTGGAAAACTCTTATATGTGTGCTTATTTATTTTATATTCTTTGCATTCAGAAAATTCTTTTATTAGTAAAATTCTGAGATTTAACTTGAATGGAGTTAACGTTACTGAATTTTTGCTTCTATAAAAACAGTGCTCTGATCTCTATGCATTAAAAACCAAGAAAGATGCGAAAAACTAGGGGTATACAATATTCCTAATCCCATTCTTTAAAATACTCTGTCAACTCAGGAAGAGTTATTTCTACCCAGACCTACTGTATTTTATACTTACTCTGCCTCCTTCTCTCTGCTCACAATAAACAGTTCTTGCTGCTTGAACGGAAGGAGCCCTTTGATCCCTATCTGTCTTTTGGGTATTGTCTGTTTGTTGAATGAAAGAAAATTAGGTGGAGCATCAGTCCTCAGCTCATTCTCTTTTGGGGTCCAAAGGGGTCTGTGCAACCATCAGCCTTAAGAAGCCTTTTTGAGAAAGACACTGGGCAGCTTTATACTCTTCTTCATTTTCAGGCCTCTCTCCTCCAGATGGAAGTTATCTGATTACCCACCATTCAGTTTGGATCTTATAAATTCTAATGTGCCAGCTGTGCAACTCTGTACATAACTGTGCTGTAAAAGATGGCAGGATTATCAGTTCATGTCAGAGAAAATCTTTTGAATCCTATTATTGTTCACTGATATCCATTACTCCAACTCTCTTCAAAGGAGCTTGCTTTGGAGTGTGATTATTCAATTATTGTATCAAACTTGTTTCTAAAAAGAGACTGAG